TTTCTAACACTTATTTGACTTCTACTTTTAAGCTCTCTGAGAGTACAGTGCGATGCTATTGTCAAATGGGAAGATTTCTATTTGATCTTATGATTCCATCCTGATGGCACGGGAAGTCATTAGGTCAGCGTGCAGCCCTTTAATCAAAAGTATGAGTGTATATAATCGATAAGTGGTCATCCGTTATCAATTACTTGATTTAATCCTTCACTTGTGCATCAGTTGAATCTCTGTAACTGCAACAATGTTTATCACAATTGTAGTGACTGCATGAGAGCAATGTGTCTGTTCGCAGTCATTAGAGTGACTATTGGAATTTCTCATTTTGCAGACGTCAGCGACGTGATCTTCACAGGATGCAAACATAAGTGCAAATTTGTATATTGGCAATTGTCACAAAAGTCATATTGTGCTTACAAATAATTTTCAATGAGCATTTGGGAAGAATGTAGTCCACCGTCATACAGATAAAAAGCGATGACCGCAAGACCAAATCATCATAGCAATCATTGGGCTGTGCCAAAACTTTTCATTCGGCCATGCCTGAAAAATTTTAGTCTATATTATCGAAGGCGTATGCCATACAGTAGGTAAATACCATCTGACAAATGGCTCTAGTAATACAGTTAAAAAATGTTCTTAGAAAGTTCATTACGTACCAGAGAACAATCGAGCACTTTACTGAAATAATTTTGTTTCTTTGACGGATGCTCACTGGTCTTCCCTTTCGGGTCCACAGTAAGAAAGAACTGAATTTACTATTTCAGGTTTCTGTGATAATGTCAGACATTTGATAGTTAGTCTCCTGTTAGTGCAAATCTCTGAATTCGTGACTCTGACGACAAATAAGTGATTTGAAAGTTTAAACTTGTTTCATGGCCATTTAATTGCTTCTAACGGCATTCAAGGATTAGTTGCTACGATTTCCCGGTGGCTCATGATTTTCTCGACTGTTTCCTGTTAGTAGTACCGAAAACAAGCGAAATTCCAGAAGATCATCTATGATTATGAGATATTAATGAATGTGTGTTGAATACGATTTTCAGCCACTGTACTTATGGTCGTACTCAGGCTCAACCTACATAAACATCTACATGAGATGTTGGCTTTTTCACAAACATGTTGAAATATTGCTGAATGTGATTTGCAATATTGGCATAAAGTATACAATTGCAATCGATTAAGAAGTGCAAATTCCTTGTGAAATTTGAAATTCAGCAACATTAGAACAATCAAAATGAATGATTTTGGCGTTATGTAAGTTCTATCGATTTGTAATTAGGTGTCAAACAATAGAGATGGCAAAATTTACTGCCACCGCACCTGCAGGGACATAAATGCGTAACTGATATGAATTTTACAAACAACCTTAATATCAATAAACATGAGTGACTGATTCAGATAGCTTGTGGCATCTTTACGGTATTCCGCATCAATAAATCATTTTCTTTACAAACTCGGTTCGCGGCAGGACTGATTTCATGAAGGAGTCTTGTCTTTTAAGTGAAGGATAATTAATATAGCACTGACTGATAGTGAGGTACATGACGTAGTAACAATATGACCTTCGGTTAAAAAGTAAGACAATGGCAACGTGAAGCAGACCCTGAAAAGGCTAGAGAGCTTCACAAGTCGGTGAGTATATTTAATGGCAACCAAATTTGCTTTATCGAATAATTTAAAGTGCATTTTTTAAGTTTCATTACCGAATTGGACTTTCCAGTGATACATTCCAAAAGTTTCACTTTCTTTAACAATTCAATGACTGTCGAGGTCAATGTTTGTTATTCTGAATGCGCTGAAGCACTACAACAAAATCGCAGCGATACACACGTACTCGCCAGATACAGCCAGTTTTGTGAACAAAGAAACAGCTAGAAAAAAATCAAAATCTATCATTTCACATTGCATAATCATATTCTTCGAACAGCTGGACCACAGTTGGCCTAGAAAAAGGCACCGTTCAGAGAACTACGTCGCAGTCATGCAAAATATTTCGTGAACCTCACTGCCCGCTTTGAAGCACTGAAAAGAAAACGGACTCGTTGCACGACAAACAATCGGGTAAATATCGCAGGAAAAAAGCACGGACATGTTTCTGAAAACGGCAAAAGTGTCGCTTTCATCGTTTATCATGAGGTCGGTTGTGTGCATTTTGTTCAACCATGCCATTAGGCCAAAAGAAATAATCAACAAAACAATCGAACCTTCGCACAGAGTTCAAATGCTAGAGACAGCATAATCCCAAGAACACTTCCAATTAGGAGGTCTTGTCAACAGTGTTAATTTTGTACAAAATCTTTAAACTCTGGACTTGCTGTGAACGGGCCATTAACCAACAAACGAAGGACTCTGTTTCACAGAGCTGACTGATGAAGCGACATCTTAAAATTTTGTAATGTCCAGATCTGATCTCGGTTAGTTTCATCACACGGTTTCAGAGATAACGTGTCGGACTCGGCGCTGAGACACAGATCCTCGACGATGTTCTTCAACTGTGAAGACTAAAAAGCAAATTATCAGCATATTTACGAAACTGCAAGCAAGAAAAATATTATCATAACTAGTCAGGTGTCGCAAAACTAATAATAGAGTAATTACAAGAATGTCAGAAATTTGTAACTTTAAGTCATACATATGTTTGACAAACTATTTCATCAAGTTCTTACTTTCTGATCATATTTCCAAGTTTGTTTGCCACCTAAACGAGTGCACTTTGAAAGCTTCAACGCGCTAGCAGAACTTTCAAGGCAAAGTTCATCCGACCTAAGTTCAAAATAATTCGTGAAGCTCCACACCTTAAAAAGAATATATATAAAAGAAACGACCAGAACATAATCAATTATACAATAATGGTTTCCAAATCAGCAATTTACAAAAAAGGACTTGTTCAAATATGAAAGTAACACCCTTGCCAATCAGATATATCTCCGCAACAATAATAAGTTTATGCTTCATTCCACCGACATCGTTTGGTGGTAAGAAGGAACTGCGATGCCATCTGCTGATGCAGTCATTGAATTTGTGAAGATACTCTTTAGGTCAGTGAAAATAAGGAAAGCTTATTTCATAATTTTGGCCAATGTTACATACGGAATTTGATGTCAGCTCTAACACCCTATTACATCATTTTCGATCGATGGCTTGACTTCGCGCTAGGAGTAGTTTACTAAGCATCAACGGGTAGAAGTCACCGAGTATAAGCCGCAGCGTCAAGAGGGAGAAAAATTTTCATTCGTGAGCAGAATTTCGCCTACAGCTTCAAAAGATAAACAGAAAGCTTACCGTCACCCAACTGTCGTTTCTGGCTCTGCTGTGCCTACTAGACACTAATTCGCCACAGCTCATAATAGCCCCTGTTATACTCTATTCACTGCCCCAGCACATATTACTGCACTAAGATATTCATGAATTCTTTACATCAACATGTCGTCTGGTCGACAGTCGCCAATATATTGTGTCATATAGTATATGAAACACTATGATACGCCATCCAGCGAAACGCAATGAACATCTTATTTTTCAAACGACCAACTGTTGCCAATCAGCGAGATGCGTCAGCGGCAACGAATGCACTGCAACACGAATCCACAGATAAAATCTTTTATTTATTAAGATCTCCAGTCTGTGTAGCGAATAGAAGTGCTGGTCACTGATCTGCTACTGCCCATGTTGGAATTCTTCTCAATATGAGTTAACGAGATATTCCAGTTATTCTGGTTAGACAATCTAAAAATGACACTTTTCCAGCTCAGAGCTCTTTGATATACCTTATGAGTGAAACCGCGAGAAGATAACGAAGCTTTGCATGCCCACTTAGATTCTCATAATTGGTAAAAATAATAAAAAATAACTGTCGTTGAGATCCGTTAAAAAGACAACTGTGGGGAGACATGTGACTAAACTATTTAAAAGGTGACAATCTTCAGTCTTCTTCTGAGTCCGCTAGTCCTTGAGTCTGCTAGTAAGACCTGCATTTGTTCATCGTGATCATACACAATTCAGCAGAGAACTTCAGTTTAGGCAAACAATGGCTTGACAAAGAAAGTAAAACAAGAACAAGAAATCTCTATGATACCTGATTTCCACCGGCGTAGTGACATTTGACAAGACCAGGAGTCATTCCGTCCTTATGACCAAGGGTGTCAAGGCAGAAATCTGAACCAGGGTTCTGAACCTAAAACACAAAAGTCACAGTTTCATAGCCTCATAATGAAGCAGCTATCAAACGAATGAAACAAATTTTCAGAAAATCATCAAAGAATTCTACATGTATTTATTGATAACACAATATTAACACTAAACACGACACCAATCATGTAGCCTGAATCCAAGAAAACAACTATTAATTTGATGAGACGGATCAGAAAAGGCATGCCTTCATAATACTACTGACTAAATAATCTCAATGAACAAAAACAAGATGGGCAGCATTGCTTCATCTCGCATATCACATTTATTCTCCCGTCGAAAATTAGTTTAACTGGAATTTTATTGCATTAGTTACGAAAAACGCCTACGCTAATTTACGGCCAAT